AAGCCTGTGACCTTAGACAAGTGGTTCTCAACTGGGGGCAGATTTTGTCTCCCAGGGGACACTTGGCAATGTCTGAAGACTTTTTTGATTGTCACAACCTAATGCCAGAGGTGTTACTGGCATTTAGTGGGTAAAGGCCAGGGATGCGGCAAAACATCCCACGATGCATGGCCCCTCCCCCAACGACAAAGCATTATCTGGCCCAGAATGTCAATGTTGCCAAAGCAGAAACACCTGCCTTATCTGACTGCCTTAACCTCCCGCCTTTGTTTCCTTGTCTGTAAAATAGGGCTAATACTAGGTTCTACCTTGTAGAGCTATTGTGTAGGCCCAGCAAGGTAATGTGAATACCTAGTGCCTAAGAACAGTAGGTCCTCATAAATACTCCCTATACAGTCATAATTAGCCTGCCTCTGGAATGCCTCCTGGTGTCAGCCCTCTGCTAAGCCCGCTCTGTTTGGCTTGCTTCTTGCCAGGCCAGTGCCTCTGACTCCTTCCTTGCTGGTCTCCATGCCTCCCTTCTCTCCTTTGTGACCCTAGCCTTATCAAACAGCCAGAATCCTCCCCCTCAGACCCCATCCGAGCACCAGCTCCTACGTCCTCTCCCACTTCTCCCAGCCTGCCCCTCCTCCCACACTTTCCCTGCCTCACCTCTGGTGGCTGGGCCAGCTCCTTCTGCACAGACTTCCTCCTGGCCCCATCCACCCAACACCTCCCACACCTCCAGCCAAAGTGGCATAAGATAGTAAAGCACATCTTGGATTTGGACCAGGATGCCTGGTCCAAGTCTGTGCTTGGCCTATTACTTACTGTCCAGGTTTGAGGAAGTCAGCCTCACCCGTAAAATAGGAAAATAATCCCCCATCCATGAGGTGGTTTTGTGGACCAAGGTGAGAATGTAGGTGAAAACATACGCCTGTAAAGAGAGTAAAAGTGTAGTTATTCAGTTTGTTGAGCCTTAGCCCACTTAATATTTTTTATTTTCATAGTGTTTACCACCTTCTAACAAGCTGTAACTTTGTCTTTTATTGATTGTCTTCCTCCACTAGAATGTCAGCTCTATAAGGGTAGGGATTTTTGTGTTTTATTCACTACTGTACCCCTAGTGTCTAGAGCAGTGCCTGGCACATAGTAGGTGCTCAATAAATATTTGTTGGATGAGTGAATTTGCTATGTATAAGGCACTTCTGTAAAGCCCCTAACTCTACCTCCTCCAAGAAACCTCCCTTCAGATGCTTGTAACATAATCACTGCAGCATCCCCATGGTACAGGTAAGGAAACTTGCCCAGTCACTCACCTGAAAGTGTCAGGGCCAGAGGCATTTGTTCATTTAAAACACTGAGCACCTCCTGTATGCCAGGCGCTGGGCCAAGTATTAGGGACACAGACTTGGTCCTTCCTATCCCTCACAGCACTTGTGGGGTGAAGGGTCATAGAGGGAGGCCCAGGATGCTATGGAAACAGAGGAGCACCCCCCTCCCCAAGGTCATTGGTCTTCAAGACATGTGCCCCTTCACTGCCTAAATTACCCTTGGACTCAACCACTGTATTCTTTTTTTTTTAACAGAACATGATCATAGTTCAATGCAACCAAAAATAAATATTTTTATATCGCTCATTAATGGTCCAGCTCCCAGGCTTCTGGAATCTATTTGGACTTCATCCAGTTCAGGGTCCTATGCTGCTCTTTAACCACTGTGCTTGGTTTTGCCTCTCCCTCTGTTTTCTCTACCTGTGGCCAACTCCTTTGAGAGAAAGTACAGTACATTGATGGCGAACCTATGACTCTCGCGTGTCAGAGGTGACATGCGAACTCATTTTTTTGCCTCTGTTTTCTCTACCAGTGGCCAACTCCTTTGAGAGAAAGTACAGTACAGTGATGGCGAACCTATGACACCCGCGTCAGAGGTGACATGCGAACTCATTTTTTTGGTTGATTTTTCTTTGTTAAATGGCATTTAAATATATAAAATAAATATCAAAAATATAAGTCTTTGTTTTACTATGGTTGCTAATATTAAAAAATTCCTATATGTGACACGGCACCAGAGTTAAGTTAGGGTTTTTCAAAATGCTGACACGCCGAGCTCAAAAGGTTTGCCATCACTGGTATAGTAGCTCAATCCCTATGTCATGTCTTTTCTTTTTTTAAGATTTAAAAGTCCTCACCGGAGAATGTTTATTGATTTTAGAGAGAGGATGAGAAAGAGAGATAGAAACATCTGATGTGAAAGAAAAACATCGACCCATTGCCTCCCATATGCACCCCAATCGGGTGGAACCCACAACCAAAGTATGTGCCCTGACTAGGAATCGAACCTGAAACCTTTTTTTTTTTTTTTTTTTTTGGTTTGTTTTGATAATCCTCACCCAAGGATATTTTTCCATTGATTTTTTAAAAAGAGTGGGAGGGAGAGGGAGAGACAGAGAGAAACATCAATGTGAGAGAGATACATGGATTGGTTGCCTCCTGCAGGCACCCTGACCAGGGTGGGGGAACCTGCAACCGAGGTACATGCCCTTGACTGGAATTGAACGGGGACACTTTAGTCCATGGGCCGATACTCTAGGGCCAAACCTGAAACCTTTTGGTGTACAGGACGATGCTGCAACTAACTGAGCCGCCAGGTCAAGGCTCAATCCCCATGTCTTGAAAGCCACTCTGCCCAGATGAGGAAACTTGGGCCTAGATAATTCAGTAGCTCTGTCATCACCCAGCAAGTGAGAGGCAGGACTGGAAGCTGGTTCCCACCCAGTCACAACTTCCATCACTCTCACCCCCAGGAGACGGCTCCTCTGGCCTGGCTGGCCTCCCCTGCTTTCTCCTGCTTCTTCAGGGGCTGGGATCCATGCCCTGGTAGGAGGAGAGCCACTGATGGCACTTGGGGTCCAGAGTTAGGATTGAATTTTTAGGATGAAGGCCCACTTTGAAGCTCAGATTTAGGATGGAGGCCATTTTGGTGGTGGTGAGTCAGGGGACTTTGGAAAGAGTCTAGAGTGAAATTTGGGGTGAGATTCCCCTCTGCTTTCTCCTGCCTCTTTTCTCCAAAGATAGGGAGGTCTACGATAGGAAGAGTTAAGTGTGGCTTTGCTTCCCCAGCCAGGAGGAGAAGCCAGACCAGGCGGGACTGGGTGGGGCGGGCGGGGGAGGGGGGGGAGTGCCAAGGGGTGCTGAGACAGTGGGAAGAGCAGGAGCCCTGTCCCTCACATTTCACTGGCTCACCCACCCCTCCTCCACTCCTGGTTTGGGGAACAGAAGAGGGAGAAGCAGAAGAAGACTTTTTGTTTTCTTTGGGAAGCCAAGTTTGAGGGCTGCCCCCTGGGGGAGAGGGGTGCAGGGAGGGGAAGCCATATCCTGGGTCCTCGCCTGGATGCTCACCACACTGCCCAGTGCCCTCCTAGAGATGGGAACCCCTGCAGCTACTCCCTGCCCCCCCAGGTGCCCCTCTCTGACACCAAGGCCCTGCCTCCCTTATCCATCTGAGGCCAGCTCCAGAACCCAGAACAGAGGGCCTGTCCAGTTTGCTTCCCTTGCATGTGACCGGAACCCTGATGTCCTGGAGCGGTAGGAGTTAGCAACATAATTTAATTTACCAGGTTTCTCATCAGAAGAAGCTGTGGAGGCGCAGGGGGAGGGCACCCATGGGTTCCAGAGCCTCAGCTCTCCACCTCTTAGAGAAGATGAGGTGGCTGGTGGGGCCAGGGCCAGAATTAGGGGACAGGAGTGGAAGGACTGATCAGAGGTCCTTGGTGAGGCCTGCGGATGGAGTCCCTTGCGCTTGGGGTGGGAAGCCTGGGGACCTGGATGATCCTGTTTTGTGAGAGGGCCTGGCCCCTCCCCAGAGCCAGCTGCAAAGCAGGCGTGGCCAGAGAGGGGGGTAGAGAGAAGTGCGGTGCTGGCAAGGTTGTGGGGGGCTTTGCTGTCCCTGCCCTCCACTACCCCTTTCTGACTGCAGCCAAGATGGAGGCATATCATTGGCTGTTCAGCTCCCTGCCTGCTCCCCATTTCAGGCCCCTTTGGGAACCACAAAAATCTGGGACCTGGTGTCCTGGCAACATGATGAGTGTGCACACAGCTTTGGTATCTGTTTTAAATTATCCATTAAAATAAGTACAATCCTGGGGGGGGGGGCGGGGGGGCAGTACAGTCCTGCAGTTAGCAGGGTGGGGTTAGCAGTAGGAAGGGACTGAAAGGGGCAAGAACCTCTTTTTCCAATTGCTTGGGGCCAAAGGAAGGGGGCAGGGGTTGGAGGGGGAAGGCCTGGGTCCTATTCTTGGCCTTCTCTGGAGATCTGTGGCTTGTTACTTGGACCTTCTCTGTGTGTGTGTGTGGGGGGGAGGGTGGTGGTGGTGGTGGTGGTGGCTTGTTGCAATGGTTGGTTTGGAAGGGAGATTAATTGGAGCAGAAAATGGGAAAAGAGGGACCCCAAACTCCTGGCCCCCACCCCAAAACTGAGGGCGTAAAAGGAACTCAGAATCTAGGACTTTGTTGCGCTTCCCCCAACTCCCCCTAGGCATTCCTTCCCCACCCCATCCTGGCATACTGAGATGCAGCTTTCAATGGACTGCCCACGTGTGGAGGGGGGGCAGGGGTGACTCACTATTACTATGGGGGGGAAGGGGGGACGGGTGGTGGAAGAAGAGTGAGTCACCCTGATGGGCACCAGCCTCTGTCCCCCTCCCCCCTTGCCTGGCGCCCTCCCTGGCTTTACACCCACTTTCCCTCTCCCCCCTGCCCTTCACCCACCCACTCTCACCCCTTGGCTCTGCGCTCTGCCCCTAAGGCCTGAGACTGTAGGAGGGTTGAGCAGCCAGGAACCAAGATGGGAGCTTCAGCAAAGCTCCTGGCACAGTGGGGTGCGCGGGAGAGGGTGGGGCGCGACTCCGCCAAGGCTGGGCGGTCCCTGCCCCCGTTCACCACTCCCGCCCCCGCCCCAGTGGGTTTGCGACGGCCCCTTTAAGAGCAGTGGCTCCTCCTCCCATTCCCAGGACCTATTAGAGCCTTTGCCCGGGCACCGGTGACTCAGTGTTTGCGGGAGCGCCGCAGCCACTCCAGCCAACCCGGATCCCAGATCTGACAGCGCCCAGCCCAGCTCTCCACGTCTGCCAGGAGCGAGCCGGCCGGTGCGCTCCAACCCCGAGCCGTCTCTATCCTTCCGCCGGAGCCCCGTGCCCTTCCCGGGACCCCTGCCCTGCGGGCAGCGCTGCCACCCTGCCGGCCATGGAGACCCCGTCCCAGCGGCGCGCCACCCGTAGCGGGGCGCAGGCCAGCTCCACGCCTCTGTCGCCCACCCGAATCACCCGGCTGCAGGAGAAGGAGGACCTGCAGGAGCTCAACGACCGGTTGGCGGTCTACATCGACCGTGTGCGCTCGCTGGAGACGGAGAACGCGGGTCTGCGCCTTCGCATCACCGAGTCCGAGGAGGTGGTCAGCCGCGAGGTGTCCGGCATCAAGGCCGCCTATGAGGCCGAGCTCGGCGATGCCCGCAAAACCCTCGACTCGGTGGCCAAGGAGCGCGCCCGCCTGCAGCTGGAGCTGAGCAAAGTGCGGGAAGAGTTTAAGGAGCTCAAAGCGCGGTGAGTGCGCCCAGGTGGCGGCGGGCCCACGTGACGGCGTGCGGGCGGACTGGTCACCCCCGCCTGGCCCCAGGCGGCTGATAACGATGCCGTATAGTCTCCTCCCTCCGAACTGCCCCCTGCGGGTGCCTGGCAGTGCCAAGGGAAATCGTCTGGATAGGACAGATAAGGGAGGGGTCTCCGGGAGAGGGTGGGGTATATAAGAAATGGTGGGGACATCAGGGCCAAGGAGGGACTGGTGGCAGGCCCACATTCAATCAGGGTAAGGTTTCCAGCCATCTGGAGCCTGGGGTAGGGGCTTGAGCAAAGCAGAACGAACCCTGCCTGGTCTAAGAATTCTGGGCACCCCAGGGCACACTGGAGTGGGTGAAAGGGGCCTGTTAGAACTTTCTTGGCAGGCTTGGCACAGCGCCAGTTTTGCCCAGACTGGCCTCTAAACACATGATGACCATAAAACGGAACTCCCGAGCTGGCAGATGTCGCGTGGTGCTGGGGAGAGGTCACTAAGGCAGAGTGACCCCTTTTCTCCCGCATGTGGGTAGCCCTCGTGGCACGACCCTTTCTGGGGCTCTTTCTAAGAGCTGGGAAGTTATCCTTGGCTTCCTGCATGTCCGGGACTTTCCCTGGGCCCTGACAGGCCCACCGAACAGCTCCAGGAGAGCGGCTCCCCCGCAGCTCCCACAGCCCTTGGCCTGCTTGGCCTGGAATGCAAGGGAGGGAGGGAGACGGAGGGCAGAGGCTCCACCTCAGGAAGTTGTGTTATGCCTAGGTCTGGTGGCTGCCCCAACCTCCCAGGGCCCGCTCTGCCTGGTGTCTTGTCCGGTTTAGGGCCGTGTCCCTCTCTGCCTCCCTCCTTGGGGTGAGCCACTTTCATTTTCCCAGCCGAGCCGAGCCGTCTTTGCTTTGGCCAGAACTCTTAGCCACTGCCTCTTTGGATCTTTGCCTTAATAAATTGCTGGAATACAGTGACATTTTTGAAATCCAGCCGTAGGAAGCTTCAGGCCACTCCTACCTTACCCATCCCTGCCCCGCCCCGCCCCACCCTACTTCACTCCACCCTCTTTTCTAAAAAGGCCTTTGGAGCCTGGAAGTTTAGGCCGCCTCTCAGCCCCCAAGAATTTGGTTCCCTCCTCTCTGTTGCCCTTTCTCTACAAAGGCTCAAACTGAAGAGCTCTAACGCGCCTGGACAGCCTGACTCAGTTGGCTGGGCGTTGTCCTGAGCACCGAAGGTTGCCGGTTAGATTCCAGGTCAGGGCGCATGCCGGGGGTTTCAGCTCTGTCCCCAGTAGGTCAAGTGCAGGAGGCAGCTGATCCATGTTTTGCGCTCACATTGGTGTTTCTCTTTCCTCTTCCTCTCCCTTCCTTTCTCTGTAAAAAATCTTAAAAAAAGAGAGGGAAAGAGAGCTCTAAAGGTGCTTGAAGATCCCTGGGCTTGGAGCAGGGGGGACTACGGTTTGAGTTCCCCTCTTCTTCTCCCTTTGCATCATCTCCAAACTCTTAAATCTCTACGCATTCTGTATTCTTTCCACCACTTTACTAGCCCCAGTCCCAAGTACGGTGGGTGTGGCGGATCCATCCTCTGGTGAAGAGTAGATGGAAGTTGTGTGGAGAGATGGGCTGACTTTTATTTCTGTTGAAAGGGATCGCTCCTGTTTTGTGTTTTGTTTCGTTTTGTTTTTTTCACTAGAGATTTGAACTGTTTGGTTAGCAGGAGAAACACGAGTGCTGGAGAGTGTTGGTGTTCTGCCCACTCAACCACCAAAGCCCCCGTTGCAGATCCCTGTGAAGGGCGTTTTTGCAGACTTTTTTTCTGGGGTAGACACTGCTCAGGAGATGGGACTGGTGGAGTTGATGGTCTCATGCTAACCCGGCAACACCAGTCTGTTTCCTCTGCCTCCTGGTGCAGCTGTCCAGGCCCCGGACACCAGAGGGAGGTGTGCACACGTGGGGCAGGGGTGGGGGTGGTGTGTGGACTTGTTATATTTAGCCACCTGACTCTCTTCTCCCCCGCTGATCCTGGCTGGGCTTCCGGAAAAGGGGGGTGGGTTTGCACATCTGGATCCCCAGCTGATGGACAGCAGGGTGGAGACAAAGGGGGCTCAGAATGGGGTGACAATCCCTTCTATGTCCCCCAGTGGGAGGAGCTAGGATTCGTTGCTCCCTTTTGTGTCTTGCTGTACTCAGGGTGAGGTAGAGAAGAGTCGAATGAAGATTTGGGAGAGGAGGAAAGGCATTGTCCTAACTCCTCCCACTAAAGCCTAAAGAGAAGGTGTTGTCTGGTTTAATGTTTAATTAGAGCTCAGAGTTCAGGGTCAGGCTTTGGGCTGGGATGCAGAGCCACCTGTAAGATCCTGTGGGTCACACCCAGGCGTTTGGGGCTCTCTTGTTGAGTTGGGTTGTAGGCTCCAAGCGGAAACACTCCTCTCCTCCTTCCCCTCCACCACACATACACGCATTCTTTCTATTCCGGAGCCTAAGTCCAGGGCGAATGAGATTGAAAGCACCAGGGAAGGCCTGCCTGGGGTCCAGACTTGGAGCTGGGCCCCACCCCAGGCAGGACAGCTGGGTAGATGACTCATATGCTGCCCCCCTCCCTCCCACCCTGGTGGCTTTACAAGAGACTGCGGGAGACCGGGCGGAGACAGCAGATGTCTTCAAGGGAGGGATGGGGGCCTGAATGTCTGCATCTTCATCCCAACCTCCTGCTCCCTACTCCCCACAACATCCTGGGATCCTTTCCTGCCTTCATCCTTAAGACCTCTGGTGGTGGTCTGGAACCAGGGCTCCGGGCAGACAGTGTGCACAAGTGGTTCTAGAGTTATGAGCTTGGGCGCAGGACACAGTGCCGGGGTCTGTGCCTTCCCAGGCGGAACTGGAGGAGGAAGGCTGAGTCAGAAGTGGGGATATCCCAGGCCCACAAAGCAGAAGTGCTTCTTCCATCCAGAGGAGACATGTGCACTTGACAACTTCCTGGATTGCCCACCTCAGTGGGGACAGGCAGGGATGTGTAGGCGCATGGTCATCAGAGCTCTCATCGGGATAAGCATAGCACAGGCCAGAGAGGTTCCATGTCACACAGCAAGGGAGGGACACGTTAGGGCTTGAGCACAAGTCCAGTTCTGACTTCTAGTTGAGTGATCATACCATTAAACCGTACTCCTCCAGCTTAGGGAACAGGTTGGAGGGTCAGGAGGGTGGAAGGGGATGGAGTCTGGAGATTTTGCTCTGGGACCTCAATGCTTTGCTATTCTGCCTCGGCCTGTTAGCCCTTTATTGAGAGTATTACAGATATCCCCCTTCCCCCCCATGGTCTCCCTCCACCCGGTTCCTGCTCCGCCCCAGGCCTTCACCATCCTATTGTCGATGTGTCCATAGGTAATGCATATATGCATATAGGTCTTTGGTTAATCTCTTCCCAGCACCCAACCCCCCTTCCCTCTGAGATTCGTCAGTCTGTTCCATGTTTCCATGCCTCTGATTCTATTTTATTCATCAGTTTATTTTGTTCATTAGATTTCTTGTTCATTTATTTTTATTTTTAGATTCAATTGTTGATAGATATGAATTTATTGCATTTTATTGTTCATATTTTTTCTTTTTCTTCTTCCTTCTTTCTTCTTTCTTCTTCCTCCTCTTCTTAGAACAACCTTCAACATTTCATGTAGTACTGGGTTATTGGTGATGAACTCCTTTAGCTTTTTCTTGTCTGTGAAGCTCTTTATCTGACCTTCAGGTCTAAATGATAGCTTTGCTGGGTAGAGTAATCTTGGTTGTAGGTCCTTGCTATTCATCACTTTGAATATTTCTTGCCTCTCCCTTCTGGTCTGCAAAGTTTCAGTATCAGTGTGCTTTCTTCTTCATTTCCCTAGTTGTAGGGCTTCCATTCAGCCAGCTTTCAGGCGGTTCTGAATGATGATCGTTCTGTATTTTAGTTGTAATTTTGATGTGGTTGTGGGAGGTGGCATTTACCTACACCGCCATCTTGGTTCTCTTATGTCAGAGCCTGTTAACACTTAATAACAGCCTTTGCCCCAGCCTGAATGACCCAGGACCTACCTTGCCAGGCCATGGATCAGGAGGCTAATGATTTCTGTTTTGGGACTTGTCATGGGAATTATCTACCTGGACCTGAGGAAGGATATGCCCTTAAAAAAACACCAAATATATATTTCAGAGAGGAAGAGAGAGATAGAAACATCAATGATGGGAGAGAATCATTGATGGCTGCCTCCTGCATGCCCCCCACTGGAGATCGAGCGCACAACCCAACCCGGGCATGTGCCCTGACCGGGAATCAGACCGTGACCTCCCAGTTCATAGGATGATGCTCAACCACTGAGCCACGATGGCTGGGCAGGATGTGCCCTTTTCATGGAGGCCTTTGAGTATACCTGGGCCCCAGTCCTCACCCCTCTTCCCCGCCTGCCCCCCCCCCCCATTCTGATTCAAAGTAAAAGAAGATACAGCTAAACCCTGGGGCTGAGGAGAAACAAGAGACAATAATTCAGGGCCCCTGATTGCCTTCCCACAATCGATGCCTTTGGTTGGCACTTCCCCTGCCCTTCAGGAGTCTGAGACTTACTCTTGTTTGGGATGTGGCCATTGCTCCCACTCCCAGTCCCACCCCCAATGATTCAGTAGCTCAGTGTCAGGGCTCAAGCCAGAGACAGCTGGGGGAACAACTGGTAGGAGAGGCCTTCACCTACCAACTGTGCCTTCTGCTCTCCTCCCCCTCGCCCCCCCTCCTCAGCCCCTGACCACCTCTAGCAGCTGTAGCGGCCAAGACCGGGTCTGGCTCAGAGGCCCGCACACTAGAACAGTTTATCCAGTTCCTACCGCCTAGCCCCCTTTGTACTGAAGGTGACACAGGCCGAGCTCGAATATTCTCGGAGCTGTCTCTGGGGAGGTTGCAGTCTCAGCCCTTAACAAGAGGCATGGGGGTCCACCAACAACAGTGTGTGAGGGAGTTGAAGCAGCTCTGGCCCTCGATGTCCTTAGTT